AAAATTTTTTTTTTTTTTTTTTTTTTTTTTTTTTCTGCAGTACACTAAAATGCAACCATTTGGCACCTTCTTTAATTGCAATTCTGAAAGCAACTGACTGCTTGGCTGATTGACTGACTGACTAACTGACTGCTACAACCCGCAATACCTCAGTGTTGCAACAGTTAGTCTCGAAACGAATTGACGTCACTGAGTGAACAAATTGATTTCTAAAGCACTTCAATAAGCGGCAACAAGAAGGCAGTAGCAGTGTGTTGGGCACAAATATCGCCTACTTTGATGCAAACTGATCTCGGTTTTATGCAGTGCATCCGTCTGATTACAATGTCGGATGGTTGCTGATCGTTTGCTTCCTGTGCTTATTTCTTATGTGCTGTAATAATGTGGCTGTAACACAGACTTCACATAGTGTACAAATGGTAGCAAAAATTGTTCTTAATCTAATGCTCTGTGGTAATGGCCAAGAATATTCATTAGCTGTAATGTTGTTTCTTTTCATTTTATTTTATATTTTATTTTAATTAATTGAAAAAAAAATTTTTTTCTTTTTTAGTTTAGATGTTTGGCAAAAAACTGAAAGTTTTGCTTTCTTGACAAAATCTGCAGTAGTAGGGTGTGTGCAATATTGAAGTTTTTGATCAATATTTTTTCTAGCGCTCTTTTAATGCGGTAAAAAATTTTTCACCGAGCAAAAATGCAGCAAAAATTCAGCTTCAGTTCAACTTCATCTGTACATTTGTTACTTTATGTTTGTTAATTATGGTTGATTATATTTTACTGCTTGTAATGGTTGCTGTTACTATTTCTTTGTTCTTTTTTCATCTAATAATCACTTTTACTTTCAGCCGGACATCGTTTTCAAAGTTTATTCATTTTTTTCTTTTCTGCATCAAGGAGTTTTTAAATGAAGATAGTTAAAGAAGTTTTTATTTCACTTTTTCTTTTTCAACTCTCTAAAACTTCAGAATATTGTTAATTTTATTAGTCGGTTTTTTTTTTTTTTATTTCTGATTATTACATACCAAAGTATTTAATCGATAATTTATTTAGCACCAACTTTTTTTGCATCATTTTTAAAGCTTTTATGTTAAGTTGTTTCTCAGTTTAATAAGTAATGGAAAGAACAGGATAAAAATTTGTGCTCAATTTTTCAAGTACTGGACAGCAGTAATGTTGTTAAGTTACAGTTGTAATTACGATGCCTTATTGTATTGGTTGTACAGAAATACGAGCAATAGAACATTGTTTATGGAAAGATAAAGTGACAATTCTCATTAATTTTTCTTCTTTGCAGGTTCTTTAACAGTAGTTTTTCAGTTTTTTTTTTTTTTTTTACAATCTGTTATTGATAGCATTTCATAGTGTTTTAAATACTTTTGCACTTATAAAGTATATGTATGTATATGTCGTGTATCCTGCAAACTGATTTCATTATTCAAAAAAACAATTAAGAAAGATAAAACGTTGTGACTTTTTTACAGTCAAAGTGTATTAAATCTAAAGGAATGGAATTCTGTTGTACTGTGTGCTGTAGTCGACAGCAGTTGATTGTATTATACTTTTTGCTTTATTATTATTATTATTATTTTTTTTTTTTTTCAATAGAAGAATCTGGAAACAGTTTTGCGTAGTTAATCGCAAGGTTTTACGATTGTTGCTGTATCTTTTCATTCTTAGTGATTGATGGCGATATATTTTTTCAGCACATAATCCCGAATTTCATTTCAGTTATATTTCTCAACATCTTAATTTATACGCTTTTAGAGAAAAGCATTGGATCAAATTAACTGCTGTTCGGTACCTAAGGATTTTAGAGTTGGGAGAGAGTATTCCAGTTTTTCTCGATCTGAAAATTACGCAAGTCATTTTGCTTTATCAAATCTGCCTTATATAGCTAGGACCAAAAGTGTATTCTCAAAAGGTGGGAGCATGACTAAATTGTTTGAGAATGAGTTGAATCGTTTTGTTTTTTGCGTGTATTTTTTCTGCGTATCAATCAGTGATTTAGAAAAGATAGGTAGTAGCACAGTAAGGTTATATTTACTCATCTTTGTTATCTCCACTTACCATTTTTTAGAGTCAATACTAAAGCCAAGTAAAAATTCTCAACCATTAAAAAAATTTTATATAATTACTGTGTTTTGTCCAACACCAAATTGTTTCAGCCGGATGCATTTAAGCTGTAGTGCGGTCATTAAGAAAAACACCCTTATTTGGTATGGAGATAAAACCTATTCAGGAGTTTGGTAATATTCGGCTTTGTTTTTCATCATAAAGAGTGATGAAACTAAGTTTCAATTGTTGGTAAAAATGTGTCGTTTTGACATGTATTGTTTAGACGGGATTCAGATCGATGGAATGCAGCTGGAAAATTGCTGGAAAAAAAATTGCTTTCTTGGATTGAGATCGTAGTGTGTTCTTAAAATAGATCTAGAATTAGATTTTATTTTTTTTTCTCTGCCCAAATAAGCTTCAAGGTCTACCAGTAAAAAATTTGTAGACGACTACAGCACAGAAGGAAAGTATTTTGCGTTATCCCTTAACGCTCTTCATTGTTTTCTTCTGTTCCCGGCGCATAATATATTGCCCATTTACTGTCTTTTTTCAGTGCCTGAAAATCTTT